GTGGATGCTGTTCCCTGGGGCTGAGATCCTCTGAATGTAAAGCCCAGCTTCTCCTGGCAGAGACTTGGGAGAAGAAAGCGCCAACGCAGAGCATGCTTCTTTCTCCTTCCTCAGTGTTTCTGCCCCAGGTAAATACCCTTAATACTTTTTCTGGTGTTAGGATGGGGGTGCTTGTTGATATCACGTGTTTTTATAGTGAGCGTGATCACAGTGCTGAAAGCTGGGCTTGGTTCACTTAAAAATGAGCCGAGGAGTAGGGGCACGGCTATACTTAATATGTTTGAGTTGTTCTGCAGGAGCTAAGGCCCCCACCCAGGTGGAGGATGGTAACTTCAGGCTGAGCACGAGATTCCTGGAACACGGCCCTATTACCTACCACCAACTAGTCAGAAGAAAGTCACACAACTGGAAGCCCTCAAGCCTCATTTTGCCTATTAAAAACTTCACCCTAACAAAAAAAAGAAAAGAAAAAAAATTCACCTCAAAAACCATCAGAGAGTTCAGGGTTTCTGAGCACGAGCCACTGTTCTCCTCGTTTGGCCCTGCAGTAAAAACTTTCTCTACTCCAAAAACAAAAACAAAAAAAAAAGAGATGAGGGCATGAGGCTGTGACATTCTCCATCCTCCCTTCTCCCAGGGTGAAATATGTGACCGTCGACTTTAAAAAGATATAGTCCTTAACTAGTCCAGCCCAACTATTGTGTGTTAACAGGAGCAGCACCATCAGAGGCATTTTAGAGGCACAGGAACATTGCAGTCCTAAAGATCTCCTGGCAAACTTTTGTTTGGTTTTGTTTTTTTTTGTTGTTCTTAAATTGTGAGGCAGACTAGTAATGTAGAGGGAAAAATAGTGGTCCAGAAATAATTTTTTGTAGAACAGTTTTATTGCAATATTGTTTACACACTGTGAAGTCCACCCATTTAAATGGAACAATTCATTGGCTTTTAGTATATTCACAGTGGTGCAACCATTATTATTCCAGAACATTTTCATCACTTCAGAAAGAAACAGTGGAAATGAATGATCTATCCACCCCTCCCCAGTGGTGGTTCTAAAGAAGTTTCCTGGCTGTTCCGGACCCTAAATTAACTTGTTACATTCCATAAAAAATCTGGTAGGAATTCTAATCAGAATTGCATTGAATCTATATATCAGAACAGGAAGAATTAATGTCTTTGTGGCATAAACATTTTCTACCCATAAATATATCTGGGACCCTATCTTTTCATCTGTCCAGAACCTGGCCTATCGAAAGTCTTCACTAATTTATTGGGTCTGTGAATAATGAGATTATATACATAGCTGGTTGCAACTGTATCTTTTCACGAAAGAGAAAAGTAACCTCAGTGAAGCCAATTGACTCCCTGATGGTCAGAAAGAGTGACAGCCATTGCTGGAGTGATCGAGTGGACCTGGTGCTTGCAACCAGTGTTCTCCACCACCTACAGCTAAGGGGATTACAGTGTTCTTTTATTTATTTATTTATTTTTAAAATTCTCATTTTTTATTATAGTGTAATCCGTTTATAATGTTAGTTTCATGTGTACAGCAGAGATTCAGTTATATATATGCATATGTACATGTATATTTTTCAGATTGTTTTCAGTACAACTCATTAAAAGAAATTGAATATAGTTCCCTGTGCTATACAGTAGGTCCTTGTCATTTATTTATTTTATATATAGTAATGTGTATCTGATCATACTAAACTCCTTAACTGTCCCTCCCCCTTCCCCACCTGCTGACCACAGTTTGCTATGTCCATGAGTATTTCTAGCAACATCCTTTTTCTAGTAATATATGCTGGTTGGCTGCCTACATTTTCAGTAATTCCATCTTA